ACTTTAATAAATTATCTAAACTTTTCAGAAGTTTGTGTTTTTTACAAAACCAGGGAACACATTCTTCTAGTTTTCGCTGTTTACACGACTTTTTTATGTAATTTTATATTTTTACATGAAAATATTTGTAAAACTACAGCTAATTATGAGATGAAACACATTTTCAGTGCTGATTGTGTGTTTGTTTTTTCAGGGAACCACAGTTTATCCTCTGCTGGCTTCAGTCCTGCACGATCCCAGTGAGTGGGAGAAACCAAACAGCTTTCATCCCGCTCACTTTCTGGACAAAGAAGGAAAATTTGTGAAGCGAGACGCCTTCATGCCATTTTCTGCAGGTCGGTTTGACTTCATCTCTGCTGAAGCTGCTTTAACAGATATTAGAAATCTAAAGATGTTTCCTGTGGTTCTCTCCTGCAGGTCGCAGGGCTTGTCTTGGAGAGAGTCTGGCCAGGATGGAGCTCTTCATCTTCTTCAGCACCCTCCTGCAGCGCTTCCGTTTCACTCCTCCTCCTGGAGTTTCAGAGGAGGAATTGGACCTGACTCCGTGTGGAGGCCTTACTCTCAGCCCTCCGCCTCACAAACTGTGTGCTGTTTCTCTGATGTGAGACAGACAAGAGTCCTTTGAAACACTCCGTGGAACAATTTTTTTTTATTTAGTTTATAAAACAGAAAATATTTGAATGAATAGGCACAATATTATTGCTAATAACCAATAAATCACTGCACTCACTCCTATGTCTCACTTGTTTCTGCAAAAATAAGAACCTAAAACTGAACATCAGTTTGTGAGCTGAGCTTAGACAAGCTGCAGAAAGAAGGTCAAATCAAAGAGGAGCAAAGAGAAAAAGCTCTTAGACAAAGTAAAAAACAAACTGACTTTGCCATAGTGAGCAAACCCAAATACAAAAAGGTAAAAATAAAACTAATTTACATAGTTTTGACCAAGTTTCAAAGTGACAGAGCTGATGAGGAACAGGTTTGAGAGGGAGGGGCAGGATCTGCTACAACACAGACTGGGAAAGAAACAGAACTAAAAAGTGACAGAACACAAAGAATACAACAAAAACACAAAAACTGTGACCCAGATAGACAAATCCTGCAGGGTGAACTGGTTTTCCTGGGAAAACTACGAGCCTAAAACAGCAATTAATGAAACAATGTTGTAATGTAGTAGAGAAATTTAATGTAGCTTTAATGTAGCATGAAATATGTTCTAAGAGAACAGGATTGTACGGGGTGCCGTTTGCAAAGTTACACAGTCCAAAATTAACAGTAGTATTTTGCTTTATTAACCTTTTATAAGCAAAGAAAATAGGGTTTGCTTTTCAAAGTCATATTTGAACCATGTTGTTCATACATTTATAAATGTCATATATCCAAACAAATATTTAATATGAAAGCTAAATAACTATTTAAAAGACAACATATTTATGTTGAAGCTAAATAGTGTGTAGGATTTGTTGTTTTCAGCGGCATCTAGTGGTTGAATCATCCTCCCTGGTCCTCCCCCCACCCCCACCCCCCCGCTTCCAAACACAAAGGAGTTGCTACGGTGTCTCTCAGGTGTCAAAAACCTTTGATAATTCCAACCNGTATCCCACGTGGGCCACATCCTTCCCAGTCCAGGTAGGCTGCATGAAACRGCTGTGAAATGAGACGGTCTAGCTTTCACTTGATGTTAGCTTTAAGTAGTTTTGCGTGACCACGCCCTACCCGTTAACAWAGTGATCAGTTTCATATCCAGTGGAGGGCACTAGTGCCCTAAAGTGTAAATGCACTAATTGCGGAGCTAAATTTCTTGTCTGCCCTTGAGGGCTTTTACTCATTTTCTCCAGGTGTATGCAGATTTGCACTTTTTMATTTTAAAATTGGGGAGCGCTAGTCTAAAATTTTCAAAGACTGTTGACCATTATCATCATTTAAAGCAGGGGTGGAAAGTCATCTGAAATTACAGTTAACATAAATCCCCTAATATCTGAAGTGTTTGTCATTTTCTTGAACAGTAGAGAGGGCATGCTGTCACAAAGCAACACCACGAGGAAACGGCTCCTCTCAGACGTTTGATAAAACCACACAGAGCTTTATCCTGTAGCTCACTGTCCTGGGTGACGGCTCTGAATTTAAGAGGCATCTCTCACAATTCTTTGCGTGGYAGGACGCAATTGGAGGAGTAAACAMCCYCGCCCTTCTCCAGCGGCGTGCCTGCTGTGGTTCTGATCTGAGGTTCTGATGAAGTGTCTCCAGGTTCCAACCACACAGGAACCATGCTCAGCCGTGCAGTTCTTCGATGGTTTCGGGTAGGGNGCATAATTGCTGTTTTACAGCAGGTTCCTGTTCTGCAGCACATAAAACACTCAGAATTACAGCATCACAATCACATCATTATACACTATAGACACAAAGACAAACAAGCATACCAAATTTCAAAAAGGCAGCGTTTGCAAAGTAGGCCGTCTAAAAATGAGCACAACAAAAAGTGTCCAGCAGATGGCAGACAAGATTCTTCTTAAAGGGCTGTAGTTTTGAAACGGACTTTATGGTTTGAGGAATGTCATTCCATGCAATTCAGACACCCTGTATTCAGTTATAAATATTTCAATCTCGGATCATTCACTTATTTATGTCATTAAAAAAAACCTTAAGAAACCTACAGGTCATGTGCATAATTTCATTAAAACAAGCGACTAATCACTTGTTCGATTAGTCACTCCGTCCCGGCTCCCACCGCCACGCGTCCAGGCCGGCAAGTCCACCCCAGGCGCTCCGTCCAAACACGAGGGACAATCCGAGGGCCGAGGGACTCCATCCACATCCGCCACTCCACCGAGACACGCCGCAACAGCAGCAAGCCGGAGAAACCAGTCCAACCGGCAAGGCAGATGATATTTACCAAAGTTAGGATAACTTATGGTCGATGCTTGTATACACGCCATAGGACGCTTGTGGGCTGTTGTTTTTCGAAAATGATGTCCGTCATTTGCGTCTTTGATCTGTTTATGTAGCATACAGAGTAACAGCAACACTAAAGCTGAGGTAAATTTGGTCAAAAACAGACCTGCAGATGCCTGTAAAGCCAAATGGGATGTATTTTCCTGCAGCGATACTGCACAGCTACATACATCTGCTGCCACCGCCGCCATCTTTCCCCACAATTTTAAAAGCAACACTTTCTTCTYGGTCYCTTATGCGAGATTTAGCTACCGAACCAAACGCCCTTCGTCCAACTTCTGAGTCACTCTGAATGGATTTTCCCTCAGAGTGGTTTGAATACCCACTAACAGGGGCGTGACACCTATCATCATTTCTCCAGTAAGGCCCCCGGGCGCGGACAGGTGGGGAACGCCTCTGGCGAGCAGGTCGCCTTCGTCTTTCTACCAGGGTCCACTCGCCCTCCTCGTCAGCCRTTCAGACACTTTTAATTTCAGTTTCACTTCTGAAGAAGTTGAAATGAGTGTGTGTGTGTATGTGTGTGGGTGAATGGGGTAAGAACGTGAGAGTGTGGTGTATTTTTTATTGTTTTTTTTTCAGAT